CTGCCTTCCAAAATTTACCTCGGAACTTAGTTCGTTAAAACTCCCTCGCCGAATAAGAAAAGCAAGTGGAGGCCGGGGCCGAATTTTCGGAGCCCACATCAGCAAACAATTTCACCAGCAATGGGCAGTGATCAGAGGTCAGCCGAACCAGATGTTTAACCATGGCTAAAGGTGCTCGTCTTAATCCTTCAGAATTCATCAGAATTCTATCAAGCCTCACCCAAATCTTACTCTGCCCAGATTTATTATTCGACCAGGTATATTTGGGACCCAAGAACCCCAAATCATGTAAATCATTATCCACCATGAACTCAGACATCTCTTGAGCCCCTACCGAGAAATTAAATCTCCTTCCACCCTTTTTCTCACTTTGATTCAAACAACAATTAAAATCTCCCCCCACAATCATTGGGAGATCCAAGCTAATCAAAGGGCTAATAGTATTCCAAAGCAACCGTCGGCTATGATAACCTTTACTAGCATAAACAACAGCAATAATCCACCTTTGCATATTAGGAAAAGTAAGACTCCCAATAAGAACCTGTTCCAAATTGGCAAGAACTTCAAACTTTGAAACATCTCTTTTCCATAACGCAATCAAGCCTCTAGATCTACCATTTGCAGGGAAATGAAAAAATTCTCATTCACTGCCAATCAGTCGATCTACCTCCATCCTACTCATATCCATCACCATAGTTTTAACTAATCCAACAAAACAAACCTCGTTGGTACCAACGAGACTACGCAGGTAATGCCCCGTCTTCTTCTTCCGGGCGCCCCTGCAGTTCCAGATCAAGATTGAAGACATTAAAAAACAAAAGGGGAAGCGTCCCTGCTGCTAGAACCAATAGGGGAATCCTCCCCACCATTAGTAACATCTGTCATTTCCTTCCTCCTTTTCCTAAACTCTGTATTTGACTAAGTTCTTTCATAAACTTAAATCTGTTAGTTTTTGGCAAGGCAGGTGGCATACCTGCCGTGAAGGGTAGAGGTTTTTTGAACCCCATTCTGTTCTGCTTATGAGTAGGTCTCAAAGTACTCTAAGGAGCTTCGACCTTCCCCAAATCAACCTGCTTGGGATTATTCTGTAATTGTCTATTGTTGTTACTAACAAAATTCCTCCCAGGAGGGCGAGTACTCCTTCGACGAGGGGGAACCTGAATCCACGGTCCCAGCTCATCATCATTCTCCAGATCGCAATCCGGCCTAATAGAGGTTCCAGCAACAGCCCCCTTCTTAGCCTCCTTCTCCCCTTCCACACTACTAATACCTCCACCCTTCTTCTGACTACCTTCTTCAGTTTTAATCACAGGATGGGTACCCAACTTGGTTTGCATCTTATCAGTTCGCTCAGTCCTCCCCGAGGACTGATCTGAGCTTTTCACCTTTTGTTCACTATGTTTTGACTGCTCCCCTGTTCTTCTTGTCCCAGCATCCCCTTGACCACCACCCTTCAATGGACAATGATCTCTCCGATGGCCTATTTTACCACAACCAAAGCACATCATGCCAATGCCCTCATATTCTACCTTCTGGTAGAATTTCCCATTCCATCCATTGACCCACACCCCAGCCTGAAGTTTATCAGCCAAATTCATCCGCACGCAGACACGAGCGTACTCTCGTCTTCCCCAAAGAGGAGTACCAATCTTTGTAGCGATCCGAGCAATGTTGCATTCATCCCAGTATTGCAATGGAAGATTGGGCAGTCGTATCCAAACTGGGGACGACAGTCCTTCCATAGAAGCTGGGGAGAAATTAGGTGTCCACCTATCCAAACCCACAAGATTACCTCCGATAAACCAAGGGCCGCCCCTTAGAACTTCATTTCTAGCTTCAATAGAAGTAAAAATGCAGATAAAACAGTCCGCACCCAATGAGGTGAGTTGAAACTCCCCAAACCTCCCCCATTGTCGTTGGATCTCCGATTTCAGCAAAAAGAACGACACTCTTCTGCCCAAAATCTTTCCCACAACAGCTCGATCAAGCATCTCCATATTAGCCTTAACTCTTTCCAAATTTAAATCAATGGAAATCCCGTCTCCTGAAATAGCATTGAATTCTTCCGGATGCAGGATCGGGACATGATCCAGCTTCTTCCACGGATTCCCCATACTATTCGCAAACACAACTCCCTGGGTCATCTTCTTTCCCTGGCTCTCCCCGCAGTTCCCACTCGACTGTCCTGCATCAGCATTTCCACAATCATCTGGCGTGCCTCCAGTCAATTTGCTCAAACCAGAGGAGGAACTCCCCGCTCCGTTCACACCTACAGCAATTTCTACAGCAGCCTCCCTCTCCGTCATCACCATCCCTTCCTCCATGGTTACATTGTTCAGCACCTGATTATTCCATTCACCTACATCCGCACTCACCTCCATTTGACAATGTTGTCTCGACAATGAAGCATTCACATCAAATATTTCTTCCATATCTTCCCTACAATCCTCAATCGGAGCTAAGTCCTCGACCTCCATGGAAGATGCCGTCGCAACGAACACCGGGTTGAGCTTCAAACTCATGACCGGATTCGTTTCCATCTCCATCGCCTCCCTCTGAGGAGGATCCTCTTTCCTAGCTGCAACAGACTTGATCTGGCCAGATCCATTCTTCCCGATCTGCTGAATCCCTTTAGGATCCAGGTTTCTCGACTTCACCTCCCATCGACCTTCCAACGATCCCTCCGAACCCGATTTAGCTGCATCCCGACCTTTCCCTTTCGTCTTTACCATCACGGGTTTACTGGGAGATCCAGCTCCCGATCGCTCGCCTTGCTTCTTCGAACTGCCAGATCCAACTCCCGATCGCCGTCGCTCTTTGCCGCCATTCGTTCTGTCACCACCGCCCCCGCTTGAGTGGGGGGAGACCTTCGGTCACCCCCCGCCATACCAAACCTTCAGTCGCCCCCCGCCATACCCAGAGCTTCTCTCACTACAAATCGCCTAGAGAGAGAAAGAAACGGGCAGAAATGACGCTTCTAGAGAGAGGGAGAATACATTTATAAGAGAGAGAACCTCTCTTGACTTGGGTTCGGGTAAGGGCAGAGAGGAGCTCGGGTTGGGTATGCAGGTGGAAGGCGACAGGCACAGGGGAAGATGGAGTTCGGCCTGGAGATCGGGCGACTCCGATCGTGGAGGTCACAGCTAGGTAAGAGAGCTCCTCTCTCTCTCTCTCTCTCTCTCTCTCTCTCTCTCTCTCTCTAGACGGAGGGAGTAAGGAGGTCGGGAAAGGGGTTCGGCCGAAGAAGCCCGTGAAAGGAAGAAAATTAACTACACAGCTAGTGAGCTCCCTTACTTCCGATCGGAAGGACCGTAGCTTCCGATCCTTAGGGAAGGGATGGCATCGGAGGGGCGAAGTCGAAAACCAGCGAAGGAGTTGAAGAAGCAGTGAGAGGGAGAGGGGGTAAGCGAAGAGAGCTCGTGCGTGGAAGAAGCCCGAAAGCTTCACCTCCTCCTCATTTTATTGGCGCGAAGGAAAGATCAGTCAAGGCGAGGCGTACAAGAGACGTGCGAGACGCGATGCTCGGTCGTGCGAGGAGTGGCGACGACGTGCGAGTGGCGACGACGTGCGAGTGGCGAATACGTGCGAGGTTCGGCGCATAGTAGGCATGCACGATCTCATTTTTCTTTTTTTTTTTTTTTTTTTTTTTTTTTTTGATTTTGTACTGGAGGTCAACAGAAAGCGGAAAGGAAAAATTTTGAAAGAGAAAGAGGAAGAAAATTGGGATTTTGAATTTTTCTTCTACTTTTGACTACAGAGAAAAAGTACTTTAAAATTATTAGAATTTACATAAGTTTATTTTTTCTAATTGAAAGAAAATTTTATTGCGATAGGAAGAATTCAAATGACGTAAAGTTTGATTCAACAATGAAGGAAAGGAAAATTCATTTGGAAGAAAATATTTTGTGAGATAATTTATATTATAAAGATAGATAGTGTAATAATAATGGAGGAAATTTGATGTTTGTTTTTGGATGATATTTAAGACATCCAATTTTAGTATTATCTTGTAGGCATTCAAATTTAGTATTAATTAAGATATTATTGTGAAATTTTGAACAGTGAAAGATCTTCATAATTGAGTTGAAATGAGTGTTAAAAAATCCACAGCAAACCTCAAGGTTTGGAAAGAATTAAAGCTTGAAAATATTCAAAGTAGGTAATTACAGTTGTGTAAAATTTCATTATTTTATTTTCATTTCAAATTTGAAAGTAGTATTTTATTTAATTGTTTTACTTATTTTTTATCACTATTATGAGTAAGAGAATGTAAATTCAAATGCATATATGATGGTTGAAAATTGATATAGAAATTCTTATGACTGAAAATGATAGAAAATATATATTGATATTATCAAATCAAAGTATGAAAATACATGATAGTTATTTACATATAAGAATACAAGTAAAGAATGATGAAAGAAATTATATAATTTATAACTAAATGAAGAAATGAAAAATGGAAAAGGATAGGCATGCAAATTATAGGAGTTTACCCTTGTATGGTGCTGGCTGAGGAATTAACGTACCCGTGCAAGTTAAAAGGAAAATAAAATAGTTGTACATTTATTAATATATTTAGATGGTGTTCATGTACTAAGAATAATGATTGACACCATAAAAAATTCACCAGGTCAACACATAAGAAACAAGAAAAATCATAAGTATTAGGTATGCACCCGGTGTTAAATTTATTGTGGGTAAAGCATTACAAAAAAGAAAATGCATATGTTGGAATATTGGAGTAGAAGCTTTTTACACTAGGTCCAAAACTTTATAAATGGCACATACAAACTTATAAGTCCCATATATCAAACTATCTTTACAAAGAATATAAGTACAACCAAATAGTCAAGTCATAGTGTACTGTAGCATACCTCTATGGTTTCATTTCGTTCTCTTGAAGGATCCCCACCCTGTAATAATGAAGGACGATACCAAGGGTAAATGAAAACTTAAAAATATGCATTAACTGAGTTTTGTTGTCATGAATTAAAGCAAAGGCAATGGTTAGGCAAAAAACACCTCCCGAAGATGTCATCTTACAAGAATGCATCTTGAAAGGCACACATGTTTTCAGGTATTGTCAAAATCAAACAAAAAGAAAAAGCATATTCTCCATATGATCTCACCACAAGTTTAATGAGAAAGCTATCAAAACCAAATAGTGAAAAAATTAAATTCTTGCATAGAAAGAGGTTAAGTGGAAAATGACAGAATAAGGGGGAAAATATGGTACACTAAGGGTATTACCAAATAGCTGCTAAGCTAAGAGCTATATAAAAGGGAGTACAAATAAGAGAGTTCCATACGTGATTATTAATAGGGTTGGAGAGGTGAATGTGAAACACGCTGGGCACAAACAACTAATCAATGTACAATAAAATAGGGGTAAAATAGCTTTGTAATACATGTATGTGGTAGTGATTTAACCAAAAAAAAAATTGAGCACTGACAGGACGGCAATGGCCAGCAGTGAAAATTACAATAAGATTCCACAAAATTGTACACCTTTCCAAGAGAACTTAGACAATCGCACGAATCAAATATAGGCCCACACTTTAACATCCGATCGCACAACATTTGGTAGGCATATTGATATAAATTTAGAGTGAAATAGTTTTGGAAAATATCTGTACCATTACCTTATGAAAACTACAATTTATGTCAAGATTATCTTGAGTGAGTGAACGCAAACATGACCTTACTAGTTTTTCATAATCTCTAATAATAGGAAAGTCAGATATACATATAATTATATATTTGAATAGGACCTCAAATTATAAATAACTATTCATCCATATTTATGCAGCCAAACAATATCAAAAATTTTAACATGATATGCCATCATCATCATCCAGCTGGCAAAAGAATCGGATAGGAAATACTTGATTTCAAGTATTTCCAAATCACTTCTATAGCAAATCTCGATGCAAACTGCTGTTAGCAGCAGGAAAAACAGCAAAACAGTGGAAAAACAGGGAAAATCTGAGAGAAATTTGGAGAAACAACTTGTATTTTACTAGTAGATGCAAGAAAAATAGCAAAGATACAAGAATCCTCTATTCAAGAGAAGGATCGCACTCTCCCAATCTCTAGAATTAGTTCTAGAGCCCAAGCCACCAAGAAAACCCTAATTCCAATCAATCAAAACCTAATCCCTCCTAATCTCCCTCCTCTTACTTAATACAAAAAATTTCCTAATTGATTTTCCCTCCCTAAGCCTAGCCGCCCAACCCAAATTGAAATTGAATCAAGTGGGGCCCCCATGTGGGCGGGCCAAAAGATGGGAGTCCGCCTCCTGTAGACCTGAACCGGCCTTTGGGCCGGTTCTGCTGGTTCCTTGTGAACCGGCTGCACATCAATACCGCGCTCCCAAAGAACCACCTTGTCCTAAAAGTGAAAATCAGGAAATTGATGTTTCACCCTCTCGTATGGCTCCCACGTGGCCTCGTAGTCTAGAAGGTTCTTCCACTGGATCAACACTTAGTTTCTTCTTCTTTCTGGTGAACCCCTATCAGTTCTAGCGGTTCCAAAACCACCCCTAAATCCTCCGTCAGAGTCGCTGGTAGCTCGGGGTTGGCTGTATAATCTCCAATGGCCTTCCTCAACTGTGATACATGAAAGACTGGATGTATGGTCGCCGTTGGTGGTAGCTTCAGTCGAGATGCTACTGCTCCGATCTTCTCCAGCACTTCATAAGGCCCAAAGTACCGAGGAGCCAGCTTCTCATTTCTCCTATTGGCGACTGTTTTCTGTCTATATGGTCGGAGCTTCAAATACACCTTCTCCCCCACTTCAAATTAGATGTCCCTCCTATGCCCGTCCGCTTGCCGCTTCATAATCTGTTGAGCTCTCAGTAAATGTCTCTTCAATTCTTCCAGCACTTTATCCCTCTCCTCCAAATACTCCTCTACTGAAGAAACGGGAGTACTACTACTCCCAAAATGCACCAAGTGAGGAGGGTCCCTTCCGTACAACACCTTGAATGGGGTCATTTGTGCAGCCAAGTGGAAAGAGGTGTTGTACCAATATTCCGCCCATGACAGCCACTTAGCCCACTGCTTGGGCGTATCCGACATGAAGCATCTCAAGTATGTCTCCAAGCTCCTATTGACCACCTCATTCTAGCTATCTGTCTGCAGGTGGTAGGCGGTGCTCCTTTTTAGAACTGTTCCCTGCAACTTGAACAACTCTTTCCAGAAATGGCTAAGGAACACCTTATCTCTGTCTGACATGATTGCCTCTGGTACCCCGTGCAATCTGACCACCTCCCTGATGAAAGCTGAGGCTACTGTCACCGCAGTGTACGGATGTCGGAGAGGAATGAAATGAGCGTACTTGCACAATCTATCTACCACCACCAAGATCACTGTGAATCCTTCTGAATGAGGCAGTCCATCTATGAAATCCATGGATATCTCCTCCCATACCTGTCCTGGTAATGCCAACGGCTGTAGTAGTCCTCCTGGCAATATTGCCAGATATTTGTTCCTCTGACAAACTTCGCACCTTGTCACCATCTCCTCTACATCTCTATGCATCCCCTTCCAGTAAAGCTTGACTGTCAGTCTCCTGTAAGTCTTCTGCACTCCTGAATGGCCCCCGACTGCGCTCCCATGAAATTCTTGGAGTAAATTTGGGATGTGGATCGAGGTTCGGGGCATCACAAATCTCCCCTCAAAACAGCAGTCTGTCTCCATCCAATGAGTACCCTGGGTAACTACCATCCTCTTTTAGTAAATCTGACCTGATCATTCCCAAATATTTATCTCTAGAACTTTCTTCTCTGAAGGACTCCCAATCCAGCATCAAAGGCACGGATAGTGTCACTGCTTGCAGCTCTCCCATACATCTGGACAAGGCATTTGCCACCTTATTCTCCACTCCTGGCCTATACTGGATCTCAAAATCGTACCCTAACAACTTGGACAGCCACCTTTGATGCTCCTCTACCACCATCCATTGCTCCAACAGGTATTTCAGGCTCCGCTGATCTGTCCTGGCAATGAAATGTCTCCCAAGCAAGTAGGGCCGCCACTTCTGGATGGCCAACACGATGGCCATTAATTCCCTCTCATAAACTGATTTCAGTCTGGCTCTAACAGTCAACACCTAGCTGAAATAGGCAATAGGCCTCCGATTCTGCATCAGCACTGCACTAAGACCGTACTCGGATGCATCGGTCTCCACAATAAAAGTCTGAGTGAAATCTGGAAACGCTAAGACCGGCACCGTGGTCATCGCCTTCTTCAAGCTCTCAAATGTTGATGTGGCTAACTCCCCCCATAGGAGCCCATCCTTCTTCAACTGCTCAGTAAGCGGCCATGCTATGGAACTATACCCCTTGACGAACCTTCTGTAATAACCTGTCAGTCCTAGGAATTCCCTCAGCTCCTTCATGTTTTTCGGTACTGGACATCTTATCATTGCTTCAATTTTGGACTGATCAGCTGCCACCCCTCCTTTTGAAACCACATGGCCCAAGTACTCTACACTAGATTGTGCAAAGCAACATTTCTTTAAATTAGCCCTCAACTGGTGCTCCTGCAGTACCTCTAACACCTTTTTAAGTGCTCCAGTGCTCCTCCTCTGTCATGCTGTAGATCGGGATATCGTCAAAGAACACTAACACAAACCGTCTGAGATAAGGTTTGAAAACCCTATTTATCAGGGCCTGGAAAGTCGCTGGAGCGTTGGTGAGCCCGAAAGGCATCACCAAAAACTCATAATGGCCTTCATGCATTTTGAAAGCCGTCTTGGGTACATCCTCTCTTCATCCGGATCTGGTGATAGCCTGATTTCAAGTCTATCTTGCTAAAAATCACAGTTACACTCAATTCATCTAGGAGCTCGTCGATGACGGGTATAGAAAACTTGTCCGGGACAGTCTCCTTGTTAAGTGCTCTGTAGTCCACACAAAACCGCCAGCTGCCATCCTTCTTCTTGACCAAAAGAACGGGACTAGAGAAAGGGCTGATACTGGGTCTGATGATTTCTGCCTCTAACATTTCTTTAATCAACCGTTCAATCTCATCCTTTTGGAACTGAGTGTAGCGATAGGGTCGTACACTGATGGGTGATAACCCCTCCCTCAAAACTATGGCATGCTCCCTCTCTCGCTGCGGTGGTAACCCCTGAAGTAGCTGAAAAACCTCTTGGAACTGCTGAATCAAAGGCTGAATGGAGAGAGGGATGTCCCCTCCTTCATCCAATCTCGCTCCCTCAAAACTGTGTAGCTCCACCAAATACCCTCCGTCTGCCGACTGAATGTGCCTCACCATGGTTTTAAGAGAAACTAGGGATTTGGAAAGTCCCGCATCTCCCTTGATTACCACCTTCTTTCCCTCTACCGTCAGCTCCATCGTGAGTGCTCCCCAATTCACCTTGGTGTCCCCCAAGGTTTGCAGCCATTTCATGCCCAAGATGACATCTGTACTCCCAAGCTCCAGCGGAAGGAAATCTTCCTTCACCTGTATCCCCTGGATCGTTAGTCGCACTCCTCTGCAAATCCCCTGACCCCTCTCCATCTTCCCTGTGCCCATCATCACCCCATAACAGCCAGAGTCCACCAATCTCACTCCTAGTTGATCAACGATCAGTGTGGAAATGAAGTTGTGAGTCACCCCACTATCAATCAGCACCACCACCTCCTTGTCCTCTATCTCTACCCTCACTTTCATGATGTGATTTGTAGTGAATCCCACCACTGAGTTCAGGGAAACCTCTGTCATATCCAAGTGTAGCTTCTCCTCCATCTCCTCCTCTGTCTCTAGCTCACCTCCCTCCACAGTTTCCTCGTCATCGCAGACGGTGAGAACCTGAAGAGTTCGGTCCTTGCACCGATGCCCTGGTGTGTACTTCTCATCGTAGCGAAAACACAACCCCTTAGCCCTCTTCTCCTGCATCTCTTTCT